TTAATTAATTATTATTAATATATTTAATATTAATGAATACATTTTAAAATGAATTTAAAAACACACACACACACGGATACATCACATAGATAATATACTTTCCATGTAAAAAGAAAAAGGTAGAAGCGAAATAAAAAAAGAAAAAAATTAAGAAATAAGATAAATAATCTTAGGAAATAAAGAATCTTGCCGTGCTATACCATGCTTCCTACTTATCCGGCAAAGCACACTCTGAGATAATTTTAACCGCGAGTCGCGTGACTACTCCTAGGCCTACGATGTACGGTCGTAGAAAAGAAAGAAAAGGAAAATAAATCACTAGGCGTGTTCTTAAGAACAATTTGTAAAATTCGTTGGACTATATACACTTAACTAGTGGAAAAGAAGAAACAAAAGGGGAGCAAGAGGAGGAGGAGGAGGAGGAGGTGGTATGAAAACCACCCCTTTTACGAAAGAATTCGATCAATGTATTATATTTTTCAAGTTGAAAAAAAAATAACACGATTTATTTTTTCTTGATCATTAGCACTAGAACGTTGGTAAAAACACTAAAAACAACGCGTGACGAGTAATGACAGATAATGACAGATAATGACAGATAATAACAGAGTATATGCATGTGCACTTACATACACACAAATGTATTTATGTATACGTACGTACATGCACATATGTATATGAGAGTGTACGTAAACGAAGCACACACCTTATCTCACGAAACTTTTCGTGACTCTCGGTGGTACTTTCGAAGCCACGTTTATCCATAAAATAAGTCGTTCCGGAAACTATGTTATTCCATAGACGAGTTGATGAGTGAACGAGTATAATATATACCATAAGTGTGGAATGGGGAAATAGAGAAAGACAAATTGGTGTCGATCGATAACATTTACTTATTAACACACTTCTTTTCCAAGTTAATGTAACAGAAATAATATTATGTGAAAAGGAATAAAAAATTGATCGTATTGTATTTCGTTATTTCGTTCGAATAATGGTATACGTTAATTTACACGTTCAACCAAATTTTCATATTAATCATCGTAAAAGTTAGATATTATACATTATCGTAAATTTAAAACCACATAAATTATTTTCTCTTACAATTTTTGTATTGTTTTTCATTATTTTCTTCTTTTTATTTAAATATATCTATTAACCAGTTAACTGTGTCGATCATTTTGCAAAGTGCGCGATAATCAACCGATGACGGATATAGTCGTCAAACACAGAATAAGTGGCCCTGTTGAAATGTTCGGTCAAAAAGACGACTTTATTTTAGAAAATCAATGAATTTATGAGTAATATTTAAACAATGGATCCAACGTAAACCTATATTTACACATAATTAACGAAAAACTTAACAAAAAATCAAATATTTAACAAACAAACAAACAAACCAAATTYTTTTTTTTGTTTTTCTTTGGTTAGACATCGCGGACATCATCGCAGATGGAGAATCTAATATACTTTGTTTTTTTGGTTATGTCACGTCAAGATAATAATCGGGATAATCAAAGATCTAGTGTCCAACTCAAATTATCTATAATTTTCATTTGTTTATTTCATTTCGTCCTGATCCCTAAACATTCTAAACATATTAATATTTACGAATATAATTTAGTTTTCGTCAGAATTACAATTTAAATATCAAATTGTATGAAAATTTTACGCATGACGGATATAGCCGTCAAAAACACAAAATTCTGCCATTCTTCCATGACGGATATAGTCGTCAAACACACTTAACTGGTTAATTTAAACGATGGAATAAATTACGTTCATTAGATTAACCACACGACACGTTTAACCCTATTATTCTTATTGTCTATCTAAAATGATATTTTCAAGTAGAATACAATCAGTATTTTAGAATAAAAATACTACTGGAATAAAAATCATTTAGAATGCAATAAGTATTCCATCTTAACCAGTTAACTGTGTCGATCATTTTGCAAAATGCGCCCTAGTGTGTGTCCCGATAATCAACCGATGACGGATATAGTCGTCAAACACAGTATAAGTGGCACTGTTGAAATATTCGGTCAAAAAGACGACTTTATTTTAGAAAATCAATGAATTTATGAGTAATATTTAAACAATGGATCAACGTAAAGCTATATTTACACATAATTAACGAAAAACTTAACAAAAAATCAAATATTTAACAAACAAACAAACAAACCAAATTYTTTTTTTGTTTTTCTTTGGTTAGACATCGCGGACATCATCGCAGATGGAGAATCTAATATACTTTGTTTTTTTGGTTATGTCACGTCAAGATAATAATCGGGATAATCAAAGATCTAGTGTCCAACTCAAATTATCTATAATTTTCATTTGTTTATTTCATTTCGTCCTGATCCCTAAACATTCTAAACATATTAATATTTACGAATATAATTTAGTTTTCGTCAGAATTACAATTTAAATATGAAATTGTATGAAAATTTTACGCATGACAGATATAGCCATCAAAACACACAAAATTCTGCCATTCTTCTGTGACGGATATAGTCGTCAAGCACACTTAACTGGTTAAAAAGAAGAAAAATTAGATAGTTTTTGTTTATATATGCGAAAATGTCGGACTGACGATGAAAATGTAATAGGAGAAAAGCTCGACGAGACTGCACCCTCCTCCTCCACCCCACCCCCATTGGTCTGTAACAACTCGTGTACCGCGAAACTTTCAACGGGCATTACGAAAGCATTTAGTAACCGCTGAACTTGCGTACCCGAGCTTCTCGTAAAAGTTCAAAGTTACAACGCAGGCGAATTGAAGTACTCGACGTCGTTTTAACGTTAACACTCACGATATTCTCTATTCAGAAATGTTTCCTTCGAAAATATTCATTAAGGACTTTTCATTCTTTCTCTCTCTCTTTCGTTTTATTTTTCTTTTCTTTCCTGTTTTTTTTTTCTTTCTTTTTTTTTAATTTATCACCATAACGCGTTTTACCGATACTATATTGAAAAATGTTGTTACCTTTAAAAATATTCTTTTTTCCTGTTAAAGTTATTTCATTCGTTTTACATTTATCAACAGAAACCGAATTTATAACCGAATTTTACGTTGATATTGAATTTTTTTATCCAACAACTTGCCGTTTAATTTACTAAATTTTATTTCATTCGTACAAATAATATTATCACGATGATAACGAACGTAAAGTATTAATAAATTTACTTTAGATAATATATATTCTGCAAATAGATACCAATTTACTACTGGCAAAGGAAGAAGCACCATGTAACGAGCTTTGTAAGAAGCTTTGGCAATGCTATTCAAAATAGAAATCAACGAATGAACGAACGAACGAACGAAGAAAGGAACGAACTTTCATAATACGATTCGTCGAGAAGAGCAAAAGCAAGTATAAGTAAATCTCTTAGCAGAATATACAATCCTATAAATTACGTAGCAACGCCGAAATACCAATGGGTATTTCATTTACGCTTAGATACAACTGTTAACTTAATTAAGAATTATGTATGTAGGAATTGATTATTTATACCATTATATATGCATACAAATGACAAAACAAGATCTTTCCTTGTTGCCAAAACGGTTTCCTCAGAATTATAATAAAATCAAATTTCTGTTAAAGTACTCTAGATAACATAAGAAATAAAGATAAAATTAAACAAAAATACAAGGATATAATTTATCGATGCGATAACAAGAATGAACTTCCTTTTTTTAATATCTGTCTCTCATTCTGTCATTTAATTAATATCTATAACCGTAAAAGTCAGAAAATCAAGAATTACGTGAATTAATATTCGTTTTACACGCACACGAATCTAAAGAAAGAAATAAATAAAGAAAGAAATACGATAGCGATGCATCTGCAAGTTCGTTGCCATTTGGTTTGTTGCATGCGTCACGTGGGTTTTATACACGGTTGGATTATTATAGTTATTTGAAATGCGCCTACGTCGTCTTGATGCATATCAACGATGATTACGTTTCTATCTACGTATACACAAGCAACGTTTATCTTTACCTGCGACATATGAACGAATGAACGAACGAATGAACTTTAGGCGTGTCCAAACGATTATTTCTATTCCACTTTGATATTTATGTTCTATTATACGTCATGTCATTTTTTTTTTATTTGTTTCTACAAATGTCTTCTTATAAATGATTTCAATCCTACAATTGTGTACATTTATATTTCGAATTATACATTAATAATATAATAATTAATATAATTATCAAATTATAATACAATTAATTATTATAATATACATTAATATTATAATAATTAATAATATAATCCGATAAATAGATCAGAGCGAGTTATAAGTACATTTAACACGCTAAACTTATAGACAATTTATATTTCATTTATTTATATTGTTAGCAATAAAGTGATTCTTTATTTTAATAAAAGATTTATGTTTTTGTATATCGTGTTGAATGAGGATTAATAAATTGATTTTGAGATGCGAGAAGAGAGGGATATACAGAAAATAATATATTACAAAATAAGATATAATAATATTAAAAACAGGAATATTTATTTGTTCGGTATTATTATATTCGAAAATTTAATCTTTTTCGCGAACATAAATGAAAAAGAAAGAAACAAAAAAAAATGTAATTATATAAATAAAAATGAATAATCTCGTTTAATCGTATTTACAATTAACTATGACTTCGTATGAAATGAAAATTTGATAAATAGTTAATAATATATATATTTAAAAAAAAAAAAAAAAGAAAAATGGAAGAATCAAATAAAATTGTTATCCAACGATTACGCGAACGTCATTTAACGTTAGCGAAACGAACAGAATTTAACTTGAAAATGGATGAATTCGGTAACAAAAGTAAAACAGGCACTCGGACGTGAAATGTAATTCTCCTAAAACGAGAGTAGGAATGAAAACCCGCGCATGTAGGAATACCAACGTTAACATTCGCATTTTAACGTACCATCGTTCAAAGGGTTTACACATTCGTCGTATTGTTCGTACGAAGGAGAATTCGATTTCGACATTCGCGGTATTTGAAATCGCAATCAGGGTGATACACCGACATTTACCAAAATCATGTTTGACGATTAACGAAGTACTACGTGAATAGGATAGATACGAATGGAACATTCGGATCGATCTATCGAATTACATTTTGATATATCGTGCTACATTTTGATATATTTATTTCGTTTATCGATTGACCTATAACAAAATTTTCCTAGTTTTATGTTTAATACCTTTTGTTTCTTTTCTTTTGTTTTCTTTGTTTACTCACCTAAATACACTTTCGTCGTAAGAAAGAAGAATACGAAGGGGTTGACTTATGCTACGTTTTTTCACTTCGTGTGCCGGTTCAATATGGACACCGTGTATCACCTGAAATAAACAAATTTTTTAAAAATTAACGATACGTCACACAATAGAAAATCATTTTCTAAATTTATAATTTTTAATTCTTAATGAACTTAATTTAAATTAAGTTCTACTTCTTTTTATGTCCAAGTTCCCTATGAACCCTTATCATTAAGAATTATAATTTTCGACGAGAGAAAATACTGAATAAATAATTTTTAATATTATATATTTGGCTAGGATTAGAAAGAAAGTGTGAACAGAAAAACAATATTAGAATGTTATGAAATTTTATTTTATAATAAA